CTGAAGCGGGCCTGGCCCAGGCGCGCGGGCGGCAGCGTGTCGGCGAACGCGCTCTCTGCGGGGACAAGGGGACAGGGCGGACGGCCTGTGGCTTAGTGCACGTGGTTAAGCACAGCCCGCTCTGCCCTCACACTGCTCCCTTGGGATGGCTGCTGTCGGCTCTTGCCCTCCAACCCTCTTTCTCTCCCTCTTCTCTCCTTTCACCCCTTCCTCGCTTCCCTCCCTTGACCTCTTCCCCTTCTCCCTTGTTCCTTTTTTCTTCTCTTCTGTCCTTCCCTTACTCGTGGCTTTTCATACCTCGGAACATTTGAAAGCCCTTACTCCCTGTCCCTGCCCTTCCCCAGCACACAGCTCCAGGAAAGAGGTGTGTCAGTGGCCCTCAGCAGGTGCATCTCAGTCCCATGTAGTGACGCTGGGATCCTCACAGCAGCCCAGGGGCTGCACTGTCACTACCTGCCACTTTGCCAAGGAGCAGGGGCCTTAGGGAGCATGGCTGAGGGCACACGGTGTACAAGTGGCAAAGCCACGGCTGGAACCCAGTCTGTCTGGCCAGTTCTGGGGTCCACTAGGAATCTCTGTGTCCACGCAGGTGGTGAGGGAGTGAAGATGGGCCCTTTGGCCTTGCCCGGCCTGCCAGCTGCTGTGTCTCTCCCCCCCGCCCCCCAGCTCAATAAACGGGGAATGAATAAGGGCTTTACAAGAGAAGAGCTCCTTCTGCAGAACAGAAAACCAAGGGGAAGTTTTTACAGAGCCAGGACAAGATCTGTGAATAACGTTTGGCCATATGGAAAAATGCTCTTGGTGTTACACAGTACGGATGCGTCAAAAAGCAAAATGCAGTGCTTATCGCTCGGATGGTACAGGTCTGCCTGCATTCCTTGTTTGTTTTCCTGCTTTCCTTGTTTGTTTTCCATCTCCCTAAATAGAATGTGCGTCCTGGAGGACAGGGCCTATTCCAGCCGTCCCCACCATGCTCTCGGAGCTCTGCAGAGCACTTGGCATAAATAGCCTTCATTATTAATAGTTTATTGGAGAATAAATGGATGAATGAGGTCTCTGGAAGAGGCTGGCTGCCACTCTGAATAACAAGGCAGGGAAAGAAACAGTCATTTAGAATATTTTTGACGATGTTTTTAGTGATTAAAACCTATTATGGTGAGTAAATAAAAAGTATTCTCAGATTTTTAAAACCAGACCCCTCTAGCCAAGATTTCATTAGATGTTATCATCCTGTAGTTTGTATCATGAAAAAAAAATCTCCTGTTTAATTTTCCAGATATAAACTGAAATCATAATAAGCATGCATTCCACCCTCTGCGTGCCCCAGGCCCTGGTGAGTCTGCGGGGCATCCCCGTCCCCACTGCTTCCTGCAGACAGCGTCCACCGAGTCTGCATTCACAGCTTCCCTGGGCAGTCGGGGGCCTGGCAGCAGCTGGGGTTCTGGCCAGTGCAATGAGCTAATGCCAGGCCTCTCCCTGAGGCGGTGGGGTCTCTGCTCCCCATGGCCCGGGTGCCCTCCCCTGTCTGCTGCTCGGGCACTGTGGGCAGCTGAGCGTGTGCGCCTCGCTTTCCCTTCTATGGCCGGAGGGGAGAAGCGGGATCTCAGTGTGATTCTTCTACAGAGTATACACACGTGCATGTGTGTCTATCATGTTATTCATATGCACAGAAAATCAAATTCTAAAAAGGAATATAAGAAAATGGTAATTGCCTCTCAGGGGGGTGAGGACTTTTCTTTAGATTTTTCTGTTACCCAATTTTCTACATTAGATGTGTACACTACAAATTTTTATCAGAAAACCATCAGTAGGGCTGGGCCCATGGCCTAACGGTTAAGGGAACTAGATCCCACATGCCTGACCATGTGGTTCAAATCCTGACCCCAGTGACTTGAAAAACATGCCAGGTGTGTGTGTGTGTGTGTGTGCGTCTCTGTGTGTGTGTCTCTGTGTGTGTGCATGCTCAAAGTCCTGACCGGAGGGAGAAATGGAGAAGGGGCTGCAGTGTGACCACGCCCCATTGGGGGGTGCTTTCTTCCTCTCTCTCTGTCTCTCTGGTGAGGGAGCACACCATCTGGCA